TATTGTGATACTGTTCATTTAAATAAAAACAAAACACAGCTTGGTTCTTTCTCCTTATGTGAACCTCTGTAATCCAGCTGTCAGTCCACTTCTTTAATGTCTTGTTAGGGGCACAAATCAAAGCATAAGCTTGATATATTACAGCTTTTGTTACGATTTGATCTAAGCTGTGCTGTTCTTCATTAAAGACTGGTCACTGAAGACTAACTGGGATTTAAATGGTAGTCCTTCAGTCGGATTGGCCGGCTCTTTGACACAGAGGGGCCCTGCACAAAATAGTGTATGCTGGGCTTTCTGTTGGTTTGCGCTTTTCAATGTCAAGTTTACATGAAAAGAAAAAAAAAACTAAACAAAAAAGAAAACATTTGGACCCTACCTCTGAACTTGGCACCTCTGCCCACCTGTGCCGTGAGTTATCAAAGTGTCCTCATATCCTGTGTTAAAGCTAGACCTTTGAAATCTAAGGCAACATGAAGAAGAAAAGCATTTACAATGGTGTTCAAAGAGCATGCCTTGACCTGGAATTTCACATTTACAAATCATTTCTGAAGACAGCATGTTTCACTGAGTAGCATAACAATTGGAAAAGCTTTGTATTGAGATCGCAGTAAAAGTAAAGCAAGCTAGTATTTGACAGATGCTGTCAAAATATTCCAAAATGAGCCTCTGCAACCTTTAGAAATCATATTTATGGCTGAAATATTACAAAATAAAAAGTTCACCAAGTGACACAAAAAAAAGAACTGAAACTGCTAAAAGGCATGCTTACGCAGTATTTCTCTTGCATATCCAGCATATTTTATATTTGAGCAACCAAAAATAAAATTGTTGCCTTTGCAAAGTAAAATCATTAAAAGTGCAATTTACAACAAGGTTTCATAAGCGGCCTGTACTGGATTAAAATTCTTTTTTGTTTATCAAATGGCCAAATAAAATAACAGGAAAATATATTAACTTTTTTTTTTTAAGTCAACACAGACTCATGTCCTTGAATATATGCAGATTAAACAAGCAGTCACCTGTGTGCAGTCATATCACAAAAGTCTATTCTAAGCCTCTGCTATACAGCTGAAAGTAACATCTAGTGCTCCTGCAAATGCAAACATCCTTTTGTACAGTCCTCCAAAATCCCAACTGCACAGTGATCAGTGTTGATGACCCTGTGCTTCAGAGCTCACCGGGAATGTGAGAAGTGTGAAAAAAGCATCAAAGAAAACAAAAATACAGTATAAAACATACAGGCAGTGGCTGCAGTGGACATTTTTTAAATTGTTTTTAATATTTAGTTTCACTTCAGCCCTTTGTATGTTATAGCTTCAATCTTCTCCACGGCTGGCTAGTGGACCGACAACAACACAAACATGAGTAGCCCTAAGACCGGTTGCACCACATATTTTTTACACTGCCCAATCTGACAAGAAACACTCTTCAGCAGAGAGACAGGCAGTCCAAAAAACTGCCAACTGACTATTTACAGGCTGCCATAGCTGAACAATAATTTCCCCCTTAACAGAATACAGACTTATGTGTTGGTCTTAAATGATAAATTCTGATAAGCTATAGAAATCTCTCTTACTATTTCAGTTTTCTGAAAGATGATTATAATTTTAAAGGATGATCCACTTTGCAGGACCAGCAGATGTGTCAAATAGCACTTTGTAGTAAAAACATAAAGCAACACTGGGGATTCAAACTCCAGGGGTGTAACAGTGTGCATACAAAGCATATGCATCCTGTTCAGGCCTGTTCCTGTCCAGAAGAAAGCCATTGTGTGGATTGTGCCTTGAACACTTGGCTATGAAACTGGGACAAGTGGGATCTCTGTTTTTCCACACAGTCGGAGAGTACTGGAGTCTCTCTACAACTTTAACTACAGTAATCATAGTTTTATTTGGATTGATCATGCTGACCACCATGCACAATGAAACATTCAACTCCCTAATTGTCCATTCTGGGACAGAAAATACCCCCGCTGGAGACAAAGATCTTTGGGGTTGTGTCCACTGTCAAACTCTAACAAATCAAACAAAAAGTTTTTTGGTTGTTTTTTTTGTTTTTTTTTAATTGCATATCTTATAATAGTAAAATATCAAACTGCTGCTACAGACAAACTGAGCCAGTGAAGCTCTGATCTAGTCGCCTAGAGGTCAGTGGGGAAAAACTTCTACTGGACACTGTAATTTAGTTGTTTTTTTTTTTTCTTCTGGGGTCTGTCTAGCTATATATTTATTACACTTTTTTAATCCGATTAAAGCACCTGGACTGTGTACATATGCTCACCTGCCACCGTCCGTAGGTCAGCATGAAGAGACAGAAAGGCAGGGCCGTGCCCGTCATGGCGTGCGTGGATGGCATGCTGTACTCGGAATTGTAGAAGACCTCCACCTTTACCACAGGAGGAGAGGCCGGTCGGGACCAGCGGATCATGTCCTTGGTGGACTGTCCCACGAACAGGTTCCAAGCCCAGACCACGATGAGTCTCCGGCTGACCAGGGCGTCGATGTTCCATAAGACGAAGGGGAAGAAGATGATGAAGAACATCTCGTTGCCCAGCTCAGTGCCAAACGTGAACAGGTAGAACAGAAACTTGTTGTGGATCAGGAACTCCTGACCGGTATCTCCGGTCAGTGAGTTCCTCCGGAGGGGTTTTGCTATAGTGGTTTCTGAGTCTGCTGCTGCTGCTGCTGATGATGATGATGATGATGAGCTATCGGGCCCGGTGGTGTCGTCTCCCAGCATCCCGTTAACTTGCGGCGTGGGACCATCTCCGGCTGCTCCATTTCCAACACCTGCATCTGAGCTCTGTGCACCTTGCTGGACCCGCTTCCTCAGCCCCGGACGGTCCGGCTCAGACACCCCGCGCTCCGGTGCTTTCGGTGCATCCGGAAATGTTCCTTCAACGCCGCAGAAATGTTGAAACCTTGCTACAAGTTCTGGGTCCTGTAGATAATTACATATCTGCACAAACGTCTTTACAAAGTTCGCCATATTTTAAAATAATTTATATCAGCTAGCAAACAGGAGTTAACTCTATTTAGTCATAAAAAGCGGAGTTCATTATCCAGGAAGCTAGACAGAAGTGCAGCTTGGCGGCCGTTGCATTCCTCTCAAACAAAATACCACAAACCGAGCAAGCAGAGCGGCTAGGAACGCCTCTATCTGCTACCTGCAACCAAAGCACCGACCTTGAATGACAGCATGGAAACTCTGGCCCCGAGCATACAAAGTCCGTGACAGTTAACCATTACTTCGCAGCGTATGTAACTCGAACTCATACAAACAACAACTAACTGCGTCAGGCCGTTATTCCTCGTTTTGCTAGGATTCTTCTTCGTCTGATTTAATGTTGTCAGGCCAATGCACATGTTCAGCTAGCACCCCCTGCTGAACATGTTGCACATTACACATGATCCAATTACTGCAAGACGATGATGATGTGAGGCATCCCGTCTGATGATGACTGATTAAAGAGATACATTAAGACACTTCCTCTGTAGTTTGGTTAGGTTAGATCACACTACTACATGTTGTTTTTTGTGATCTTTGCATAGCACTAGCTTATATCAAATATTTATTGACACACACCTGTCAGAGATTCATTGTAGGTATGAATAGATTTGAATAGCTTAAGAAACTGATACACAAAAAAGAAACATTCATTTATTGAAACATGTGCAAATACTGTGTATGAGGCAAAAATAGAGTTCTAATGAGCTCTAAAATAATTTTTTGGTATGACCACATTTATTCATCAACACAGCCTGAACTCTTGCAAGCTTTAAGTTGTCTTCGGGAATAGTTCTCCAGGCTTCTTGAGGGACTATTAAAGCTCTTCTTTGGATGTTGACTGCCTTTTGTTTTGTTGTCTGTCAAGATGATCCCACACTGCTTTAATAAGTTGAGGTTCAGGCTTTGGGAAGGCCAATCCATGACTGATGGTGATCCATTAAATGTTTTTTCTCTCCAGCTATGTCATTATTGTACTGTCAGTGTTTTGGGGTTCATAGTCATGTTGAAAAAGGCTCTTGCAAGTCAGGTGCTGTCCACATATTGGGATTTGGATCATAATATGAAATTATTTTTCTGCATTCATAATTCCATTAATGTTGATAAAATCTCCAACACTGCTGGATGAAATGCTGCCCCCACTCATGACAAAGCCGTCACCGTGTTTTAAAGATGACTGTAGACACTCATTGTTGTGTCTCTGTCCTAACTTTTATACATACTGTCAATGATTTGAGCCAATAATTTCACATTTGGATTAATTATTATTCTATTTGAAAGCCTGGAGAATTATTGCTTTTGACTAAAAATATAACAAAACAAAAAAAAGCCTGGCTCCTTGGAAGCAAAATAAAGAAATGAAGACTTTTGCACATTCATGTATCGATATAACTGTATTTTCCTCCAGCTTCCTAATAAACCCATGAAAGGATGACAAATTCCTGATATCAGATGTTTCACCATCATGCACGTTTTCTGAGTATTAAAAAGAAAAAATATAAAACCCCATATTTTAACACGTATTTTAAATACAAATACGCGTCCAACCCCAGCATTTAAATTAATGCGGAAAGAAATCAGACATTTCAGGCCAGCTCGTGCGTCTGGACGGAGTTATGTATAAAGTGGAAACCTGAGACAATAATACCAGCAATACTCTAGAAAAAGACCTTAAAAATAAAAGTTTGTTTTATCAAGAACTAACAGTTAGTCCAGTGTTGGGCCAGTGTAGATTAGTGTGGCTACAGTGTAAGCATCGGTGGATATTAATTACAATTGACTTTGTGCACCCAACCAGCTCCAAATCTGGCCCAGCTCCATATGATTACAAAGAGGCTTTTATTTTTGAAGCCTCAGTCCGGATACACAGAGCTACATCGTAGCGATCTTGACTCCGGTGGACCAGGCTCCCGCCGGGCAGACAACGGAGAAGGGTCAGTTAGTACCAGCACGACCACCGAGCAGCACCGAGTCTCTGACCTGAAACCTCCATAATGCATGGGGGCAAGAGAGGGTTGGTGGCTCCGCAGAACACTTTCCTGGAGAATATAGTCCGGCGGTCCAGCGGTGAGTTTGACTCTGCAATGGAAACAGAAATAAGTGATGCTTCCGATTTTATTTCTCAGCCAGGGAACCACACAGGACTGGGATGCTGAAGTATACCGACGTGTGTTATTTTTGTGCCATTTGCTGGGAAGCAGAATCAGCAATCGCTGATTTTTTTTCTTTTAAGTAGCAATTTTTTTTTTTACCTGAAAGTTGACTGACACATTTCTTCTGATATAGAAAACAAAAAACAGTCACATTATCCGAATTATGTGGATAAATAATGAAAAATCTAAATTATAGTTTGCTCTTATGGGAGGCTTTTTAAATTAGCTCTAGAAAAAAATTAGGAAAACACTAATTATTTGTCTTACTTATCAAGTAAGAGTAAAGATTATTATTTATGTGATGATGCAATTTTACACCACCATATATTATGATTATCACAATATGAGGATTTTAAAGCATTTGTTTGAGGATTTGTGAGGTTGTTCCTTATTTATGCGCATTGTTGCAGAAGCTAAAGTTCATAAACAAATGAAATCTAGGCCATCTGCAGCTCCAGATTTGATGCATGGTGTTTGTTCAGTGGTATTAAGGAGTAAAGTTCTGCTAATGTGAGAACATATAGTCTCAATTTTACAAGAACTGGATTTGCAGCCAATCCTAAAGGTCGTAATGTTCTTTTCAGGGATGTATAATTTGATTTATGGCACTTTATCTCTTAGCTACAAATACCAGAGAGTAGAGCGCAGTTTTGCTGTATACCTTTTTTATGTTCCAGAAAGGAAATGCATGTCAGCAAAACAGCCAGTAACTGTACTACTGGCGTAAATATTTAAAGTACTATGTGCACAGCAGGCAATCAGACATTATTCTCATGAGACCCAGAGGCTTTTCTTACAAACGTAGATGGAGGGGTGCAACATTGATTCAGTGTCTGTAAACTTTACTCTTCACCTCAGTAATGTGGTGGTTATCTGAAATTCAGTCTCTATTGTCTGAATGTCTGACCACAAAAGCCCGCAGAATGAACAACATGTACAGTAAGTTCAAGTGTGCAATTTAATTTGGAAGAATTTCAGTCACCCTTTTGTCTGAAGACTGCAGACTGCTCTGAAACTGCAGTAAAGTGGAAGAAGTTTTCAGCTCTTCATCAATATTTGATTCGCATTATGAGTGGAACCTAAACAGCTTTTCTTTTCTCCGTCTCATCTGGTAGCCAAATGTGGATGACTTTTGCATCTTGTTTCCATTATATGCAGTAGTAAATATAAACTTGCATTATGGTGATTTAATAATGTATGGCGATTTGATAAATAATAAAAGGTATATGTTTTATTACATATGTTTTCTTTATTTGTAATTTGGTGTTTAAAATTTCCTGTATTTTGTCTCAGAAACAAGCTTCCTGTTGGGAAATGCACAGGTCCTGGAGTGGCCAGTCGTTTACAGCAATGATGGATTCTGCAAGCTGTCTGGATACCACAGAGCAGATGTGATGCACAAGAGCAGCACATGCAAGTAAGATGCTCTTCAAGCACGCAGCACCTTTCTTTCTGGTGCTTGACTGGAAGCTTTAATCCACAATTTTAGTGTGTTTTTTTTTCTTGTTTTTTTTTTTATATATATTGAATCTCCACTTTTTATTTATCAAAAGGGGAACTAATCTAAATACCTGGAAATAGTCAAACCTGAAGTATAAAAAAAACATATATATAAACCTTACATTATGGAAACTCGTAATCTGTTATTCACATTTCACTATGTTTTCTTCCCTCTTTGTCTTATTTTGCAGTTTCATGTATGGTGATCTGACTGATAAAAATACGATAGACAAAATCAAACAAACATTTGACAGCTATGAGTCTAATTTCTATGAGGTGCTGCTGTATACAAAGAATAGTAAGTACTGTAAATTTGAATCGCAAGATTTTAACAAAAAACAAAAATAAAATGAATTAAGGAATAAATGTTAAAAAAGAAAAAGAAACGCACGATTAGAAGTGATATCTGGTCATTTACTTTTTGTTTTTTGATTGCTTCCCACAGAAACACCAATATGGCTTTACATGCAGATAGCCCCAATCAGAAATGAAAATGACAAGGTGGTGCTTTTCCTCTGCACCTTCAGAGACATCACCCTGTTCAAACAGCCAATTGACGATGAGTCCACAAGAGGTGAGAGACTTTATGTTACTGTACCAATAATTTCCACCTGATAGTATTCTGTATTTCATTGTATTTCTGGGATTTTCACATTGAAAGCTTTGGAGTTATCGCTAAAGGTCCAGCCATTACAATTAAAGACAAAGGAGTGTTATAGATTTTGATTGCACATGAGTGGCTTTGACTTATAAGACATTAGTTTCCTGGTGTGTAACGTACAACTGTCCAGGTGTTGTGTGTCCGGGTCACTGAACAGTGGTCTCTGTGAGTCTATGCAGTGCCATATCCCTGGGGATTAATTGTGCCACAGAGACTTTTTCCATACACCAAGCAGAATTAAATGACAGTGAGGGCACAAGGAGAAGGTAGCTGTATGAATAATCCTGTTTCACAGAGGTAAAAAAGGGTGTGGCAGGTTTCTGAAGATTGATTTTATATACTATTATATTATTATTCATATATTAATAGTTAAATATTTTTCAAGCCAGGATTTATTTATATCATGAATCTGCAGCGGTGCAATATGCATGGTGCATTTAAGGAGTGGACCCAAATGCAGTTGCTGGAGACTGACGTAATTAACCGTTTATTAGGATTGTTATAAAAAAAAAAAAACTGAATTCAAAGTCCATTAATAAAGTCACCAAAAATCTGAAGAAAGGAGCCAGTAGAAATAATAATTTAAAAAAAAACTAACAGGGAGCATTCAAGGGAGATAACATAGAGACTTAGACAATGACGGAGGGGAAAGCAAAGGCAGGACTATTTATACACATCAGGGTAATCAGAGAAAGTGGAAACAAAGGGGTAACAAGGCACAGCCGAATCAATTCAAGACAACAAGACAAGAGGACAAAAGTTAAGCTAGTAACAAGACTTAGGAGACAGATAACTGCCAAACTAAAACAGGAAGTGAGAAGCTATAACTAAACAGGGACACATAGACACAAGAAAGTAGGAGGAACAAATAAAACAAATAGACCATAATATACAGAAACTGTAACAAAGAACTAAAAGACAAAAAATAAGAAACTAAGGTAGTACGTGAACATTCAAAACATAAAGAGAATGTGAAAGAGACAGATCATAACAAATGCAAAAATGCAGGAAAAAATTTAAACAAACAAACAAAAACAAATTTTTGTAGTAAGATAATCCCCAACATCTCTGAGACGTAATTGATCAGACATGATGTCACAGCACTGAATGGTGCACTCGGTCAATACCAACATAATGGTGATACTAATCAACAGGTATGAGAGCCTAAACCTGTTTATTTCCATTCACCGGCTAACAAAACACTGTGGGAAAAATTACAAAAAGAAAATGAGACCGCCCCTCATGCAACTGACTTCAAATATGACGCCACACTTGTTTGTGTATGTAACAGGATACCTTCAAAGTTTGACTCTTTGTCAAAACAGATGAAAAGGAGACAAGCACATAGAGATTCTTTGTATTAGTCGATGCAAGTACACGGGACGTGTTTATTATAAATCTTGTAGAAATAATGTCAATTGAAATTGGGATCACTTTTATTTTTCCTTCAGTTTCTGTCACTTGTCTTTTCCTTCTGTGCTTCCTCTGGGAGTGGACCAGGTTTTCTTTTGCTGGGTAAAGTTTCCAAGTGTTGAAGTGTTGTGAACATTCCTAATTTCATATAGCAGGAAACAAATGCTCTCTCCTCTTCCTGTTTTGGCTGAGCAGTCGTGCTTGTGGCAGGTAGCAGACAGCAGTGCACAGTTAAAGCAAGGCTAGTAGGCAACCAGTCTAAACGCAGATGGTGTTTTTATCCAACTGCACAAATTCAGTTCAAGTCAAAAGATATCTATTGCCCATTTAACAAAGAAAATCAACGTCACCTAATACTCCCATAAACTCCAGTAAAATGTAAACATCTTAACATTAAATGCTCTTAAATGTTTCTTAATTCTTAAATAATGCCGGATGCCGTGTTGTTTTCCTGTGCATTCTGTGTTGCTGTCTGTGGATAGGGTGGACAAAGTTTGCCAGGCTCACACGAGCACTGGCCAACAATCGAAACCTGGTGCAGCAGTTAACACCACTCAATAAGTCGGAGGTCAGCCACAAGCCCTCCAGACTGGCTGAGGTGAGCAAGACCCAGAATTTTCTTTCTAGAATCTGTATCTTTTAAATATGGCTTAGAGGTTCTTGTATCATGACGGCAAATGTTTCCTCTCAATGAAAGGCTCTCCAGCTGGGATCAGACATTCTCCCTCAGTACAAGCAGGAGGCCCCTAAGACCCCTCCACACATCATCCTCCACTACTGCACTTTCAAGACCACTTGGGACTGGATCATCCTCATCCTCACCTTCTACACTGCCATCATGGTACCCTATAATGTTTCCTTCAGGACCAAACAGAACAACTTGGCCTGGCTGGTTGTGGACAGTGTTGTCGATGTCATCTTTTTGGTTGACATCGTGCTCAACTTCCACACCACCTTTGTGGGTCCAGCTGGAGAGGTGATTTCAGATGCCAAGCTCATAAGAATGAATTACCTAAAGACGTGGTTTGTCATCGACCTGCTGTCCTGCCTGCCCTATGATATCATCAACGCGTTTGAAAACGGTGATGATGTGAGTAAACTTTAATAAAGATAATTCTTTTAATGCGGGATTAATTGCTCAGACAATGGTATGTCTTTCCACGTATACATTAAAACGTTTCTGCTTTACTGTTCTTTTTTTAATGTAGGATATCCTCACACATGCCTCTTCCACGGGTCATCTTCGTGAGTCACATTTCCACAGAAATAGCACACGGACTGAAGACTCCGTTCTCCCAGTAAGTAAATTTCTGTATTTCTTTAAATATGCTGTGATAAATATGGTTTGTACCATGCCTCTTGCTCTATGACAGTTTGGATAGGCTCCAGCCCCCCCGCCCCGCGACCTTGAATTGGATAAGCGGAAGAAATTGGATGGATGAATGGATGGAAATCAGGTCATATTATCGATCCCTTATGGTGACAAAACCACACTGAATAATCACATTGCAGAGTCTTTGAGCTCTTTGTTTTGAGTTTTTCACCCAGAACATTAGTATTGTCAACAATGATATCTACAAAATCCAGTGTTTACCGTGACCTAACGGCAAGAAGGTCCTGGGTTTGAATCCAGGAGGAGGCTGGGGCTTCCTCCCACTATCCAAAGACATGAATGGGTTAGGTTTATTGATGATTCTAAAATGGTCTTAGGTGTAAAAGCGAGTGACCAACCACACACAACCAGTAAGGGAATACTAATTTTTCCCTTCACCAACAGTGATTCCCATATGATTTTTGACCAGTATCTAGTGTTACTGTGGCCTTCTTCACTTGATTCTACATCATCACCATGACTGTCACATGTTTAAAATCGTGGGCAAGTTAATGTCACGTGGTTATTGGTCACCTGACTGCAAAACCTCCATATGGCCCTTGTTTTTTTTGTACCTACCCCTTATGATCACATTAAAGTTTTTAAAAAATAAGGTGGAGTCAGCTAAACTGGTAAACTCAAGGCTTCAAAACATCAGTCCACTAACCGGTAGGTGATATCATGATGAGTTCATTCATTCATCTTATATATATGATCTCTATTTACATTAGGAGAGAGCCAAAAATAAGACTAATTCTAATTTAAATAACTGTATGTAATTGTAACTGTATTCAACTGTATGTAAATAATTTATTTTTACAATATCAGTGTTGCAATAATATGTAAAAGCAGCCAAAAACAATCATGACTCCCGAGAACAAAACCAAGCAGTAGCATGATTTTTCAATTTTAGCAATGAAAAATATTCACCATTTAAGGAGATATAGTTGTTGTTTTTTCATATGTACAAATGTAACATCTCTTTGTACAACAAAATGTAACAACTCCAGTCGCACTCCGTTCTTTCAACTCAAAAATGTTAAATTTCACTGGCATCCCACAGGGATCTGTCCTGGAGCCTCTTTTATTTATCATCTGTCTACTTCCTCTGGGCCATGTCTTCCATAGATTTAATATCAGTTTCCAATGTTACGCTGATGACATGCAGCTCTGCCTGTGCACCAAATGTTCCACCACTTTTCGTACCACTGCTCTCTGTGTTTGCCTCCAGGAAATCAAATCCTGGTACTCCTGTAAACTTTATCAAATCGAATAGTGATAAAACCAAGGTTCTCCTCACTGACACCAGTTCACCTTGTGTAAATGTAAATGTTTCCCTCCTTATTGACGACTCTTCTCAGGTCTTCTCTCTTCCTGGTGCTCGGATCATTACCAGAACTGCCTCCATTAGTCACAACATACAGGCCCATCAGCAGCTTCTTTGGCTAATATCATATCATAATGATATCAAGATTCTGCTCATCACCTTTGAGACCACAACATCGCTCTGCAGTACCACTCTTAACTTCTGCACATCAACACACCCATTCGCACTCTTCTTCCTTCCATCTCACTGTCCCTTCCCCTCAACTGAATACAATGTGAGCTTTCAGATGCTCTGCTCCTAAACTCTGGAGTTCCCTCTCAAAGCGCACCTCTTTAAGTTGCCATACTCTCTCGGATTGTCTTCCACCAGTCACATGAATCCTCTGTTCTTAATGATTTTACACATTCTAAACTTGTTTTATTGACTTGACAGATATTTTCTTCTCTTAAGGTGAAATCATTTTAATCATGAAAACCAGTGTAAAGTTTTAACATAAGATAATAATGCAGCTTTCATCTGATGTACAATGTACAATGTATTGTATCTTTTATTCTGGATATCTGGTTCACATTTTCACTTTCTTTCTCTGTAGGGTCTCAGCAGCCTCTTCAGTTCCCTTAAAGTCATCCGCCTGCTCCGTCTGGGCCGCGTAGCCCGAAAACTGGACCACTACCTGGAGTATGGAGCTGCAGTCCTGGTCCTGCTGGTGTGTGTCTTCGGCCTGGTGGCTCACTGGCTTGCCTGCATTTGGTACAGCATTGGTGACCACGAGGTCATTGATGAGACCACCAACACCATTAAGACAGACAGCTGGCTCTACCAGTTGGCACTGAGTATTGGAACTCCTTACCGCTACAACACTAGCGGTAATGGCCGGTGGGAAGGAGGTCCTACCAAAGACACGCTGTACATTTCTTCTCTCTACTTCACCATGACTAGCCTGACCACCATTGGATTTGGTAACATTGCTCCAACAACAGATGGCGAGAAGATTTTCTCCGTGGCTATGATGATGGTGGGCTGTGAGTACCCAGTCACCACACACTGTATTTCCAACATGCATCACATTTAACAGTTTCTCCAAAGGTTTCACAAAACCTTTGAAAATGGCACAGGAAACATTTAACTAGCAGCCACAATGTGATAGATTAATACAGCCATATAATGGAACGATCCATGAGTTTTAATCTGTACTTGGAGCTGGGAAAGGATGTTTTAACCATATTCAGTAGCATCATTTGTGGGTGAAGTTTACCAGAACAACAGCTCTGTAACAACAAAAACAGCCCTGTCTCCCCATCACTCCACACTAAACAAAGCATACATACTTTGATGTCATTCGTGCATTCATCCATTCATAATATCCTAGTTGAACCTTGCAGGAGATGAAACAGTCTGGTTACACCTACTTGCACGCTAGTCAAGATAACGTGCTCTCCACAGTCCTGCTGGCTATTTACCAGCTGCCAGTAAAGCAACATATGGTACGCGTGTTCTAAAACATGAGGAGGATCTGTGCAGGATATTAAGTCCCAGCACGCTGTGATCAATACATGGCTGCTTTTTCCCTTAGTTAACATAGTGTATGGCATTACTGATGTATTTAGAGATGACTTTGCTTAGACACTAATATATTTATGTAACCACTATTGAAAAATTTCATGGCAGAGTTGACTTTGCTGTCTCTTTTTACATTTTCAACAAAGTGAAAGTGAAACATTGCAAATCAGTTGAATTTCTAGTTTTCACAAAATATTTTTGAACCATTTACCTTTATTTATTGCAACTTCCTCCTAACCTTTTAATGTGCATATCCTCAGTGGACACTATTAAGGAATACTTTGCTAGGACTGAGCTGGGCCCCTGTTTTCCTTCAGAACTGCTTTAATTTTTCAAGGAATAGATTCAACAAAGCGCTGGAAACATTCCTCTGAGATTTTGGACCATACTGACGTGATAGCATCACACAGTTGCTGCAGATTTGACACCTGAACATCCCATTACACCATATAACAAAGGTGCTCTAGTGGATTGAGATATGGTGGCTATGAGTACAGTGAACTCATTGTCATGTTCAAGAAATCAGTTTGAGATGATTTGTGACAGGATGTGTTATCCTACTGGAAGCAGCCGTCAGAAGACGGGTGCACTGTGTTCCTAAAGGGATGGACATGGTCAGCAACAATACTCATGTAGACTGAGCGGCTCAAAGTGTGCCCTGAAAATTTTCCTTTTCACCCAGAGAACTGTCGCTCATTGGATTTCTTCTCTTCTCCATTCTCTATAAACTCTAGAGATGTTTGAAGGAGAAAAGCCCACTATATCAGCAGTTTCTGGAAAACTCAGACCAGCTCGTCTGGCACCAATAACCACACCACATTCCCTTAAATCGCCTCTCTTCCCCATCATGATGCTCAGTTTGAACTTCAGCACATCAAATTGACCATGACTACATGCCTAAATGCACTGAGCTGGTGTCATGTGATTGGCTGGTGTGTGTATTAGCATCACAGAAACATCAACTAGACATCCATTTAAACCATTAAAAAACATTTTCAGTAGAAAATCTCTTCCTAAAGGTCTGGAAGCATGCTCTAAATCAGGGATGTAAATAGGTTGTCTATCTGTACCTGCCACCCTAATTGACCAAACGGACAGTTAATTATTATTTAAAATCACATTTCGATAATGACAGAATTCAATATTCAGAAAGTGAAGTAAGTATTTATGCCTTATAGAGCTAAATGATCCACAGACAACATTTTCCTCTTTTCATTCTGGTCATGGTTTCACGTTTAGCTGCAGCCTCGGTGCTTGAACCACTCTGAGTTTCGGCTTTGTCAATAATCAAAAGTGACATGTTCAGCGCCCATCACAGCCTGCTCTGTGAATGTCTGTCTGAGGGCCGGTCGTCACATCAGAAAAGTATTGCATGTTAATTCAGTCAGTCGTTTTTTCAATGCAGGGAATAAATGTCATTGCATTCTTCTGCATTTCTCATGGTCAGTAGAAACTTCATGAAGAAAGTCAAAGTTAAAGACTTCATTTATTCCCAAATTACCCTTAAATTTTCAGCAAAAACAGATATTTTTTCTTTACATTCCCTGTGTTGCGTGACTTTCAGTATTTAACGGGACACGACTGTCAAATTGATGAGGATGAAGCTTATAACATGAACTTAGAAATGATGCATTATGTTATATAAGTCTACGTATAAGTCACGCCATATTCCTTAGCTAACTTCAAAACTATCTAGAACTTAGTACTGTAACTACATTAGTGGTTTCTAAGTTATATCTTTGGTGTCTTAGTAATCGTTTGTGGTTCCAATTCACCAAAATAGAAAGGCCTATTTTTACTCCAGCCTGTTTGCTGCTTTCATCACACACTGCAGACAGAGTAATAGCTTCACCTTTGATCTCAGTGCCTCTACAGTACCTTGGTCATCACTCACCTTTGTGCACTAACCTTTGGCCCAACCCTCTAAAACAGCATGTATAGTGATGCAATAAAACCAGTGAGAACACAGAAAGTGACAGCCACGCTTCAAGCTTCGTACAGTCGAAAGTAAACACCCATTATTCTGATGGCGCCTGGATCACGATGATCATTCAGTCACACTGCAGTGTCGGCTTCAATTATGGCGCATAAATCTCCTGCTATAGATACGGTAATTATTTGAGTGGAAAAGGAATCGAAGACAGGGCCAGTTTGCCTGCAGGCTCGGGTGTAGTAAGTGGACAATGAGCCATCACGTTAGATATGTATCCTAACCTCTGTGATCCTGCTGTGGTGACCGGAGATGAAGCTTTCCCGTTGAGTGGATAAAACCTCACAGTAAGAGATGCTGAGTGACTCTTTGAGGTCACTGCAGCACGGCACTCCTACCCAGGAACTGTGGATTAGAAATTATATCATAAAGAGTTAGCCCATCCCTCGTTGTGTATATCAGGCTATGCATGCATGTATTTAAGAAAACTGCACTGTCAGCAGTGCTGTTTTGTGTACATTTACTTTTCAGTAAATTACAAAACAAAACAAACAAAATTATTAAAAACAAATAAATAAAATTCACTAAAGAGTTTATCCAAAATGTAAAATGCAAACAGTACTATATTATTGTAGAACCAAGATATAATGATTATATGCTTGTAGTGCTTATACAGCATCACGTCAGATGGACATCCACACTGTTTTTAAGGTTTTCGTTTTTCTATCACTGTAAAATCTTTGAAATCTTAAAATTACTTTCATTTGTGCACCAGCGATTATGTAATTACAGCATCATTGATCAAGTGTTAGTCATGTATAAATCAGGGGATTGTGATAAAGAGAGGCAAGCAAAGGTTTGAGCAATCATAATCAAATGGCATAATTTGGTGATTATCAAAAGAAAAAGAAAAAAGAAGAGTCTTTGATGGTGCCGTACTCTTACTCCAGCCATACGACTGCAGATGAGCGCTAACAAGATTTCCCTCAGAGTGGCCTGGAGGAGCAACTGTTCTACATGAACAGGGTCTACAGGTTAACTCCTCATCAGGTGGAAAAATGACCTTTGACCTTATGACAAGTCACAAAAGTCCCCGAAGGTCTAGAAAGGCAAGTAGATGAGCTGGTTTGTTCCTAGAATGTCATTTGGAGGGAAAAAGTCTTCACGTGGTTGTGTGGAAGCCGGTAGCGTGGAAAACACTTAAAGGACAGTTAAATATCAGCATGCTCCGGTCTTTTCCCGTCATAAACCAGTAACCTCACCTGGGATTTTGCTCTATAACAGCTGGGACTCTAACCCTTAATTGGACAAGCGGAAAAAATTAAGGGAATAAAGTTTTGGATTAGATCTCAATTAATTATTTAATCTTTAATCCAAATATAATTTTTTTTCGTGTTAAATACGCCATTAATCACATATATATTCCACTGAAATGTTTTGTCATAGGCAGTTTCCTCAACAATATTTAACTCTAAATTTGAGGTATGAAAGTTGGATACTGTGATCCCATAAATATGATTATTTGTTATCTAAAAGCATTTATCTCTCACAGGAGAGATTAGTTCTCTTGGCTAGCTTGAGAATGACTTGTCCCCCCAGATGAGCTGGAAGAGATGGTCATGTCTCGGATAAGCGTAAGAAGGCGGATGAATGAAAACGTTAGATTCGAATAAATAAGATGAACTCTTGCTCTTCTGTCTTTTTTCTTTTAGCACTGCTATATGCCACAATCTTTGGAAACGTCACCACCATCTTCCAGCAGATGTACACCAACACAAATCGCTACCACGAGATGCTCAACAATGTGCGTGACTTCCTTAAACTTTACCAGGTTCCCAAAGGTCTGAGCGAGAGGGTCATGGACTTCATCGTCTCCACCTGGGCCATGTCGAAGGGCATTGACACAGACAAGGTACAAATCTGTGCAAAAGTTTCAGGGGGTGCTTTCAAAAACTGATGTGCCATTACTTGTCAGATTTATCTTTTGGATTTCATGTTTTCATTTATTGGCTTTCCCAACAACCCAATTAAAGTTTATGCCCTTGCCTGCCTCCCATATCTGCCTTTTAGGTCCTGAACTTCTACAGTCCATGCAGTCAGTAACAACATTACCATTGTTGTTCTCATGAAGTAAATCAGATCACATGGTCCAACATCTGGAGTTTAAAGATTATTTAAAGAAGCAGCTTTCATGTCTCTGCAGTTCTATTTTTAAAACGTTTAGTAATACATCTGCTAAATGAGCAGCGGAAATGTGCTACATATTTAATGTCCTCCAGTGATGATGCATTAAGTGTTTGCTGCACAAATCTCACCATGTCTTTCAGGTTCTCTCCATCTGTCCTAAAGACATGCGTGCAGACATCTGCGTCCACCTCAACAAACAGGTGTTCAATGACCATCCAGCTTTTCGCCTGGCAAGTGACGGCTGTTTGCGCTCTCTCGCCGTGGAGTTTCAGACTACACACTGCGCACCTGGAGACCTCATCTTCCACATCGGGGAGAGCGTTGATACGCTCTGTTTTGTAGTCTCGGGTTCACTCGAAGTCATCCAAGATGACGAGGTCATCGCAATACTAGGTAATCCAGGGCAATATTGTGAAATAGACCAAGCAAAGTTGTACCTGCTGCTCTCAGTTGAAGTTAGAGCAAAGTTTTCTGAAGTCCTTTTTATGCTTTACAACCTATATGTCTTCGACTTCATCCCATTTTATTTATATTTATCTGAGCCAACAGATGTTTATATGATATCTGGCCCTGTTCAGGTAAAGGTGACGTGTTTGGAGATGCATTCTGGAAAGAGACCACGCTGGCTCGAGCCTGTGCGAATGTGCGCGCTCTGACGTACTGCGACCTGCACGTCATCCGGAGAGAGGCTCTGATGCGGGTGCTGGAGTTTTACACCGCGTTCGCCAATTCTTTCTCCCGCAACCTCATCCTCACCTGTAATTTGCGAAAACGGGTAAAACTTTCACTGTCCTGTCTTTTAGTAAAGGATGTTAGTGTCATCTTAAAGCAAAGGATTACTGATTGCATTTTGTTGTCATAGGCAAAAGAGATAACAGGGTGCACAGCTCCCACCCAGCTGGACTTCAACATTGTACATTACACTACTAAAATTACCAAGGTGCAATGTCTTTACAATCTACAATCTACAACAAATGCAATACAACCAAACCTGCTTCTTTACAACATAAACTCTCCATCTACAAACTCCTACATCATCAAGAGCTGAGCAACCAAACCCAGTGCACAGGAACATCTATAACCACAACTTTTCACCAACTGACAGTATGAATAAAAAACACTTTTTCTTATTTTGTTTGTATTGCAAAGCATTTTGCAATGTCTTGCCATGCATATGCTAAACACACATATCTATATGTGTATCTAGTACTTAAATGATCATTAAATTTAAAATAAAAGGAGAAATAAAGAACGAAAAGGTGTTTGTGCCAGCAGTAAATCATAGACAAAAATTAGAATCAAATCCCTTCTTTGCAGATGAGACTTCATTCATACAACATGTGCTGTGGCCTTGAGCTAGGCAGCATGGAATACCTGAGTGCGATGCAGAGTTGTATACAGTTTTCCATAAAGTGTGTAATGGTAAATGGATTGTGTATATATATATATATATATATATATATATAGCACATTGTCTTTGTATCGACCGCTCAGAAAGCCTTTTTATCAAATTACAAACTGAGAGTGAACAGCTCAAATGTGAAGAGGATAAATGTAAATAAATCAGCACATGCACACTGTCTCCATCCAGATTTCCCCAATCTGTGAAAAGGACAGTGACAAAAAATTAGTTCAAAGCTGAACAATTAGCCGGTCCAAACTAAGGCTCTAATATTTCATAGAGTTTCTCCTGGCTACGCATATTGATCCCACTACAGCACGGAGCTGCTTTGCTTTCCAGCCACAAGAGTAGGTTTCTTATACATTCTGCTGTAATACTATCTTTTAAGTTCTTAATGGATGTTCATATCGCGTCAAGTCATCCCAGGGCACGTAGTCTGTTGTGTTCTTTGTTCAGGACTGAGATGTATGAAATACTTTTGAGGATGTAGGTTTAAAAAATTTGAAGGAATTAAACAGACTCATAACAGCTCGAACTCTGGCTGTAACAAAGCAGATCGGCCTTTTAAGAATGTTTGAGCAATCGTTGGAAGTGCTGTGTAGTAAATATTAATTGGCACAGTTTCGTGGCAGGTATTTGGACTTTGCAAAAGTCTCAAGCCCTCTTCATTTCTTTATGTTTTGTTAGGAAAATGGGAAATAGGTGCAGTGGTTTATTGAAACCTGTGCAAACATACATGGACAGTATACAGTATATGAGGCAAAAACAGTGTGTACAATTCCTAATGAGCTTTAAAAACAGTATTTGGTATGACCACCTTTATTCTTCAACACAGCCTCTCTCAGACAAGCTTTCTTGTTATTTCTTAAGTAGTCTTCAGTCTCCAGGCTTCTTGAAGGAAATTCAAAGCTCTTCTTTGGATTTTGGCTGCCTTTTGTTCAGTTTTCTGTTAAAATGATCCCATACTGCTTCAATAATGTTGAAGTGTGGGCCTCTGGGGAGGCCAATCCATGCTGATAGTGTTTGATGGTGTGTTTTGTCTATCCAGGTATGTTTTTACTGCATTGGCAGTGTGTTTGGAACCATTGCCACTGACTTTCAGCACAGTCCTTGTGTAATTTGGCATACCTCAGCCTCAGTTTTACTTCCTTGAGAATGGCTCCTTGACAAACACACTTCCATTGAGGCCACTTCTGAGGAGGCTTCAGTCAACATTGAAGGGCCAGATGCATCTTTCAGGTCCTGTGTCAGGTCTTAACATGAATGATTCATAGGACATGTTTAAGTGGCTTAACATCGTGTGTAGAAGTACTGGACTGAAAATGAGTAAACAAGCAGCCAAGCCTGGAGAGACACTGCTCAAGAGCACTTTAAAAAAATAATAATAGGGAAGTCTGACTTCTTTAAAGCAAAATATAAAGAAATAAGCAGTGACTTAAGAGTTCTTTGCATGTTTAATAACATAGCAGGTCCTAGACATTTTGTAGATTACTTATCGGCAGCCGAGCCCATTAGTAGCTGTCTTCTACATTGGTTTTCTAATCTATCTATTTCTAATCATCTAAACTAGTCAGTTTCAGATTAATCCAAAAATGATATTAAAGAAGTTGATGCTAACTATTACACTATTAATATATCAGTTGAAATAGTGGGAGCTTTGTACACAGTGGGCTTTAACCTGGGATTCATGGGGGTAAGTGTTTCACAGATTAACTTCTCAGGTACACGAGCACTGAAAGTTTCTACCAGAGTGGTATCGGAAGGTAGTGAGACGCTTGGAGTTTATTGACATTTCTTTTCTTTGTCTTCAGAAGGAATCAGGAAAGACTCAGAGCCTAAATTGTCCTCCATTATTGACTTGTTGCTCCATTAACGGTTTCCCTTGTGCATTACTGCTTTCAGCTCATAAATATTTCAGCATTCACAACAGCTGCAGGCAGCTGTCCTTGCTTTGAAGCTGCATTATACGGACATTGTACAACTTGCTTCGTCCAGGTCGAGCACTAGAGCATGCACACTGTAAGTTACAATTTACAGTGTGTCCTGTATCAGTGTCCTCATGCACGCACTCTCCCTCTTGCAGGTCATCTTCAGGAAGATTGCCGATGTGAGGAGGGAGCAGGCGCATCAGAGTGACGTGACTCTGTCGATTCCCGAAGACCACCCGGTTCGCAAGCTGTTCCAGAAGTTCAGACAGCACAGAGACGCTCAAACGGGAGAGTCCAACACTTACTTAGATCACAACTGCGTGCAGGTGGAGATGCAGCAGCACCCCCAGCACCACACTGACTCAAACTCTTACACTCAGCCCAGTCACTCAGCATCTCCTCAGCAGCGGCAGGAGAACACCTCAGCAGGAGGGGGGAACAGTTGCAACATGCCTGAAAAGTCAGAGCAAAAGCTCACAAGGGAGGCGGTGGGGTCTGCATCAAAGCCTTGTCCAGAGAGCCGGCTTGGCCAGAGCAGTGGTGCAGGTGGAGAGGGTAACGCAGGGAGCGGCAGAGGTGTGAGAGGCTGGGCAAAGTTTAGAAACACCACATCTGCTGAGCCAGCACGTCCTCCTGTCGAGCAGGAGAAGCAGACTCAGAAAGCAGACGAGTGGCCGAAAGGATCGCAGTCCTCAGAACAGATCGCAGCCCCCAAAACGAACCACGAATCAGGGGGAGGCGGAGAGAGGGGAAGCACAGAGGGCAGCAACAGCGCAGGTGAGGAAACAAGCGCCCTGCACAAAACCGACTCCTGCGACAGTGGTATCACAAAGAGCGATCCACGCATCGACCGAGCAGGAGATTCAAGAAGCTCCTTCGAGCGAAGCCCGATGGAAAGGAGCCCCATGGAGAGAAATCCATTCGAGCACAGCCTCGGGGTTTACGCCGAGGTCTCCCTCAGACACTCATTCGTGCAGCCGCTGTCTGAGCAAGCGCTGCTTCAAGCGACGCTCCACGCGGCCAAGCTGGAGCTGAAAGCAGACATTCAGATACTGAGCGGGAGACTGTCGCTGCTCGAGGCTCAGGTGAGCGAGATCCTCAGGCTGCTGTCGGTAAAAAGACTCTCTCTGCCGCCAGCGTCCTCTCCAAAAGCAAGACGGAAAAGTCAAGACTCGGTCACCGCCTCCAGGCCGGCTTCACCCAAAACAGACGACGAGGATCTTTAAATTTTCTCACTTGATAAAAAAAATAAAGGATTAGATAAGCATCGTGCATGTCCTGCTGGACTACAAGTTTTAATACTTGATTGCATGCAGAAATGTTACCTTAGCACCACAAGGATCCAGGGATTTATCTTATACTGTAGCTTTTAACTTATGAGACACTTGTGTGTGAGAGGAAGCAGGGACAAATAATTAACAACAAGCACAAAAAGGAAATGATGCTTGATGAGGTGCTTGGCAAAACATGCAAGTTTGATGAAAATAAGATGGAGTAGTTCTTTACGTTTCTGGAAGTCAGTTTACAGTTTTGAGGTTTTTTATTTTGTTTGTTTTCTTGGTAGAAAACCTTGAAGTTCACATTTCTATTTTGTGGACAAGCTGAAGCTCAGTGAGCATTTCATCATGCACAGTGTATCATAAATACACAGCTTTATCTTATTTAGGAGGGAAATCCAGAGTTTTTGTTGCTCATCCTCAGTGGAGCGACTACCTTCCGAGTTAATTATCAGGTAATTAAATGTGCCTTACAATAGCAAAGCCTCACTGCGAGCTGTTTTGATGAAATCTAATGTTATATATACATATAAATCTATATGCATTGTCTTATTTAAAAACTCATTTCCTGTGCATGTAAAAATAAAGGACAGCAATGCAATAATGCCACATTTACATTTTTGTTAAAGGTTTCTTTTCCTTCAGGATGTGAACATGTCACCAGGTTTTTGCAGCAGACTCATTGTGCATTTTTCTTCACGTAGCTTTGCATCTTGCTCAGGTATCTTTGTTCTCAGACTGAATTTGAACGATTTCTATTTATTAGCCATTTTGTAGGATAAATGGTACTGCATATCCTGTTTTAATCATTTAAATGATGGTTCACTATGCATATCTAAAGGGAAGGTGCACTAAACTCAGTTTGTTCATATTTTTTGGTGGTTTATGAAACCACTGGGGAAATTCTGTGTGAACTGTAAGGGTCCAAGCATGTGACTGTTAAGTATGTCTGTTCTATGTTACGTTCAGAGACGACCTTGCATGCATCCGAGGGAGCCTGTCAACTGTGAAATGAGTAATGAAAAGTAATGCCTGCTCACCATCTGTTGTTTAGTTTCTTCTCTTATGTAACACAAAAGTCTGCCTTTAAACTGGAAAGTGCAACACGCAAGCGGGTTTCATGTCACAATGTTTTGTTTAATCCAGGTGAGTCACAGGAGGATACCGATTACAGTGGATTTACACTTGACTTTCTTCAAATATGATTTTTATTTAGCAGTTGACAAACAAAGCAACACTTTTGCACTGACTTCTGAATCATCTTTAAACATCAGTGCTAATAAGGATGGATGGATGGATGGATGGATGGATGGATGGATGGATGGATGGATGGATGGATGGATGGATAGATGGATGGATGGATAGATGGATAGATAGATAGATAGATCACAAATACTTAATTGTAGGTGCCCACATGGAGATAACAAGTCAAGGAGACACAAATTATGCTGTAAGTACTGCGTAATTTCTTGATAATTTGGCATAAAAACAAACAGTATTTCTTACATTATAAGAACACTGGACTTTTCAAGGTGCAGGTCATGCTGTGGATTGACATAAACTTGCCTAACTTCCAGCTATTTTAGAGGAAAGGAGACGCTCTTATCCTACCTACCTAAAGTATTTGTAGCTAAATATAATTACAATGTAATTTCAAATAACATACGAAGAAACCGCATTTAATTACAGGGGAATTACACCTTTATAAACTGGTTGTATTATAAAGTATTACAACTGCTGTGCAGAACATAAATACACATGTAAGAATTTTCGCTTTTTTAAATTTTATTTAAAAAATTTTTTCATTTATTATTTTTTTTTTTTGGGGGGGGGGACTTCTCCTGGATACGATCTTTAATCAGAAACACTGAATCGGTTTCAGCCTATTTTTGAAGGGCTATATAACATATAGAGAAACATATGTCTGCATCTCTGTGTGAATATAAAACTGTGTACAGTACTAGCAGGCTGTTTCGTGCAGCCCTCCAGAACAGCGGGTGGCACTAATGTTTCATTTTAGTGCCTTTGTGTAACTGAAACACAGAGAGAAAAGAAAAGAAAAAAAATAGGAGGGCTGCACAAGTTTGAGATCTGAGCACAGAGAAAAGTTACAGCAGGTAAGTAACTTACCAGCGCTTTAGTTCTTTTCCTCTTTGCAGTTGTGTAAGTCAACGCTGGGGTTTTGCTGCCTTTTACTGGAGAGTTGCGCTGCATGCACTCCGTTATACCTACTGCAGGCATCCAAACGTTTAACTGGGAAAAGTTCGTATAATAATAACACGGCACAGCATGTCTTGAGAAAGATAATAATAAAGTTCCCACTATAAACCCCTGTTTGCTTTCAAAAACGAATATAAGCAAAACTGTTGCTCATAAATCATTTTTACGATGACCTCAGATCAGCCTGCAAAACATTCGCCTTGGTGCCTGTTTTGTCAAATTTAATGCGAATCCATGTTCAATGTTTACTGTTTACTGCATCTACCCTCACATTTCTTAATGTTAACGAATGTTTTGATCTAAAGTATGAATAAACACATAATTTACAGGAGTTAGATGCTCAACAGCTTCCACACTGATCATAGAAGATACAGCAAAGTCTTGAACCCCTCCTCATTCTTCATATTATGCTTCCAAAGACTTATTCTTGTACTTTTTAGAAGTTGAGCAATAGTTCTTTCGGGTCTTTCAGAGCTTTTCTTTTGGACATTGGCTGCTTTTTTTGTACTCGTTTTTATGAGGAATGTTTTTGTTTGTCAAGCCACTTAACGTGAATCACTCAAGCATAAAAAGGACACTACTACTACTACTGTACTAGTACTTACTGGTTACTACTAGTTCATCTTTTGATGAACCAGTAGTAATAAAGAGACAACTTTAAATAGTATCTTTATCCACTTTGTTACTGACAGACTGTCACAAAAACCCCCACAATTTGTCCCCGTTTGTTTAGCTGAATCTACAAAAATGCCAAAGATAACACAGTTTAATAGCTGTAAAATAGAATAGTATTTTTACAGAGCTACTAGCCAAAAACTTGGCATAGCTCACCATGGTGTGCGGTATTTTCTTCTTTTTTTTTTAAATTGTAAAAACTGGACAAGTGGACAGACTTTTAGGTCTGTCACATCATCTATTTACAGCAGAGGAATGATATCTGGAAGTCATGTCTTAAGTAATATGGAAAAAATCCAACATGACCTGACACATTACCTGAGTGCTGGATCTGGCCTTTTAGCTGATCCATTTACTGTTCATTGAACCCTCATCAGACATAGTTTATGTCTGTGAGCACCCGTTTGTACACCTGTGAGCGTGAGCGTGCTTGCATTTAAAAGGTTCCTTCATGTAATGATCTGCTAGAGGGTGTGGGGAGTCACGGCCCCGTCCTCCAGGGCATGAAGCAGGTATGGAGGAGATCAAGGCTCCAGACATCCAGAGACCCCCAGAGCACAAGAGACCAAGGAAGACCAACGGAGGGGCAACCGCGCCACTCTCCCGGAAGGAGCTGAGGAGAGCCCCAGATGAGGGGTCACTCAGCAGCCGCGGAGCAGAAGCCAGGGGGGGGGTTGCAGTGACGCGCCCGTGAGCTCCGCCGAGAGGCTGAGGGCACCCCATCCCCGAAGGGGCCCGAGCGAGCCCCAGGCTCCAGGCCCCGACAAGCAGCAGCCACCAGGAGTGAGCCGGTGCGTACTGGGACGCTCATCTCCGGACACAAAGAACGAAAGAAGAGCTTTGAATGTCCTTCAAAAAGCCTGGAGAACTATTCCTGAAGTCTACCTAAAGAAATGACGAGAAAGGTTGTTTAAGAGAATTCAGGATGTGTTGAAGAATAAAGACGGTCATACCAAATATTAACTTTCAAGCTCATTTTCAAGCTGGTATCAACTGACAAAGGTCCTACTTTTTTAGCTGATCTTGTGGCCTCAATGTTACAGATGAATTATCACTCAGCAAATTTGGCTTCAAGCAGAATTTAGCATTCATAAACTAAACACGCGACACAGACACCGAGCTATAAATCGTTTTAAATGTATTTGTTACCCGTGCTCCATATGTATGTTTTGATTTGAGGGATAATTTTCCAAACAAAGCTTGCTGGCAGACTCAAAAGTTTTCCCATGCAAGTGTTTACATTTAAAAAAAGGTGTATTAAAAATATAAATGAGTTTATAACCCAAGGGATTGTTTTGATTTCTGAGATCAGCGCTGAGATGGAAATGCAGCTTCCACCTCACGAGGGAGGCGAGCTGTCTGTGGTCGACATGCACACCGGTGGAGAGCCTTTGCGGATCATCCTCAGTGGCTACCCAGAGGTCAAAGGCGACAGCGTGCTTTCCAAACGTCGCTACGTCCGGGAACATCTGGACCACCTCAGGAGGGTGCTGATGTATGAACCGCGAGGACACTACGACATGTACGGGGCCCTGATCGTGGACAGCGAGTTACCCGAGGCCGACCTGGCGGTGCTGTTCATGCACAACGAGGGCTACAGCACCATGTGCGGCCACGCCGTCATCGCACTGGGACGCTTCGCTGTGGACTACAAACTAGTGAAAGAGCCGAAGTCGCCAGAGACACAAGTGAACATCCACTGTCCCTGTGGCCTGGTGAAGGCCTTTGTTGAGTACTCTGAGGGGAAAACAGGAGGAGTGAGGTTTCACAGCGTGCCAGCGTTTGCATTTGCTACAGGTAGCACAAACGACTGTAATAGTTCTCAGGTATTTGAATGTTCTCCAGGACTAATTCAATATTTTTTTACCAGATGTGACAGTGTTGGTGGAGGGGTTTGGTGAAGTAACGGTTGACATCAGCTACGGAGGAGCCTTTTATGCCTTTGTGAATGCCCAGAGGTTTGGTCTGGATGTGTCCAAGTCCAGGACTCGGGATCTTGTCGACACAGCCACAGCTGTGACCAGAGCTGTCAAATCTCAGGTGATCAGCTGACAGGAAATTAAAAAAAACTGAGCAATATTACACAGACAGTGAGAATATCACTTGCTAAATTTCTAGTAATCTAAAAGTCTAAATAATCCATACTTTAATTTAAAAAGGGGAAAAAGTAGGCCTGATCTTATATAGAGCTGCTTTGATTTGGCAGCTTCTTTTTTTATTCGTAACATCTGCTTTTAGGGTGTTGTCGAATTATGGCTCAAATGTATGCACAGGATATTTTTAGAGGGCATAAGAAACATCTGGTAGTACTTATATGGGATGCAGTCCATGCCTGTAGAGCTTATAGCAAAAAATCTGAGCATTACATGACCTCTCAGCTTGATGTCACCCAAAAGTATCTGGACACGATGCTCCCAACCATATTCCACAGTGTGAACTGATTTCTTTTTCTACCTTATTCTTATTATCCTTTAGGTGAAGTTGCATCATCCAGCCAGCGATGATCTGGCCTTCCTGTATGGCACCATACTAACAGACGGGAAAGACGATTACTCCCCTGAACCCACCGCCAATATCTGTGTGTTTGCTAAAGCTCAGGTATGTTAGTTCCTGCTGGTGGAAGGATAAACCGTTGTCATGAAGCCTGAGTGTGGGTGTGGGTAACGCTATAGTGAGAGGCGTCTACTACGTTTTATTGATTACAATAAAAAAATAAAAAAAAAAAATAAACAAGAAAGACTTCAAACTACTGATTGAAATCCTAAGCTTTTTAGAAATATGTTTAAAGAGATCATAAGAGAGACAAAAGCAGCAGAGTTTGATGGAAAATGAGGAATGTCCCCCTGCTGGTCATTAAAAATAATGCAGATAAGGCACTTCTTAGCACCTTTTTTTGTTTGTTTTGTTTAGGCCCTGAATCCACATCCAACTTTAAATACAGTCTTTAGTCCTGAAGTAGCTCTAAGTGTACACTTAAGCACATTTGTCTTAGAAGGGCTGCAGATTCCAGGAAGTGCTACAGCTGGTCAATTTAACAAGTCGCATTACAATTTGGAACAGCTGTATTAGCTGAAGCTACACCCATTAATGCCAAGGAAGAGCAGCTGTGACTGTGCTCACAGCCAGCAGTTTGACAGTGCCGGAGATCAGCCTTTTACAATGAGTAATGAGCATTATGCAAAGTGGTCACATCGTCTTTTATTTGTGCAGTCTGCAGAGTTTATCAGAAATGAAATGGACAAACACAGCAACTGTTCAGATGAAATATGAAAGAAAAACAAGACATATTGCAAGAAAACACGTTTAGGGACATTTATTATTTGTTGTCACTTCTTAAGTCTTTGTCCTTACTTCCATTATTTGAATCCTCTTTAAGTGCTCAAGTGTTGGAATCATACAAAAGACAATAAAAGGTCTGCGTTTTGTTCATTGGTGTCACCTTAACTTCATGCAATAGGAGGTTTAAATTGTGCTTCTCAGGTAGACCGAAGCCCGACTGGTTCTGGTGTCACGGCTCGAGTAGCTCTTCAGTATCACAAAGGTCTCATCCAGCTGAACCAGACCAGGACGTTCCAGAGTGGGGCCACTGGGTCCCAGTTCACAGGAAAGGCTGTTGAGGTATCACGATTTCTGTTCTCTTGTGGAATGAGGGTGATCGCCTCTTGTTCAAAGAGTGGGAAAAGAAAGAAGTGCATTTTGTAAAAAGACCAAAAGAATAAGTAAATATTTAGACGTTATGGCGCAGTGGATTTACGATGTATTGAAATGTACAGGATTAATCCAAGTTAAAAAGAAGACATGTTTTGTGTGTTTTGTTTCTAAACAGTAATACAGTTAATAATACTTAATCCTAAGTGTAGGATTTTGGTGCAATTTAATATAACATCGCTTTGTTTGGCTCCTCAGGTTGACAGTTTCTAAAATACTGATTTGAAATCCTGTATTTAAATGTCTTAGAGTGAAGTCACCATGAAGCAGATGCTCCGGGTTTCTCTTACATCAAAACACAGCGCGCTGATGTGTGGACTGACAGCAAACAAATCACTACTTGCTGTCAGAATTACTCATTGCATATATCATCTGCAGTTTATTCTAGTTTCAGTCAGCTTTCAGACCTCATCACAGCACAGAGCCAGCTTTAGTGAAGGTTACAAATGATCTTATGGCTTCTGACAATGGACCACAAGATTTTATTACAGTAATTAGAGGATGCTGCAGGTATTAAAGGTACTGCACTGCAGCAGTTTGAATCATATCTCCAGTTTGTTTTGAGACTACAGTTTCTTCATGTAAATGGAGATTAATCTTCACACAAGTGTTAAATTAATTCAAGGCATAGCATGCTTTTCACTGCTATGCAGATGATACCCAACTTTATCTGTTCATGAAGCCAGAGAACATACCAATTAATAAAACTGCAGGACCTGGATGACCTCTAATTTCCTACTTCTACAAGATGGTTATTATCAGGATGTCCTGAAAAGCCTTCAGTTGATCTAAAGTGCTGCAGCGAGAGTAACTACAGAGAAAGCACATTTCTCCCAGACTGTTTTCTCTACACTGGCTCCCTGTTAATTTAAAATCAAATTTAAAATCCTTCGCCTCACATACAAGATGTTGTACTATTGTGGGGTCTTTAGCTTACAATATAAAGTGCCTTGAGGTGACTGTTGTTGTGATTTGGTGCTATATAAATAAATATTAATTGAATTATTCTTTTGAATCAGCTCATCATAGAATGATCTGAAGCATTTATTGTGTTTCTGTCTTAATGCTCAGGAGACCAAGTGTGGAGACTTCAAGGCTGTAGTGGTGGAAGTTGCTGGCAGAGCTTTTTACACTGGAGTTTCAAGCTTTGTGCAGGAGGCAGATGACAAGCTGACACATGGTTTCCTGCTGAAGTAAGCAAGACGTATAGGTTTTCTATACAAAAGCAAATTAAAACAGAGGTTATATGGTGGTTTTTAATAAGACAAAAACACATTTTATGAATAGAAAATGTTTAGGTGGCCAAGACTTGGATCTGTAATGAAGAAAATAAGACCTTATTTTCTTCTGGCCTGGTTTACCTGAGTAATAAATGAAGAAATAGTTTTCCTTACCTGTTTTAAGAAAAACAAAAACTATTATACATCTTGTGACTCTTTAAATTGTCCTAAATTATATTTAATAGATTAGCAAAGTACATAACTAACTCTTAGAGACTGCGAGGAGCTCAGTCACTGGTACTCTTCTTCATCTGGCTTGGTAACACCTCAGCATCCCCCCAAGAGAGCTGGACGAGGGGTTAGAGAGAGGAAGGTTTGGGTTTCTTTGCTTTGCTTAGACCCTGCCCCAGAGAAGCAGTAGAAAATGGATGGATGGTTATAACTAAAGATAAAATCTGAAGAACAGCTAAATGGAAGTGTACTGCCATTCAGATATCTACTAAAATATTCTTGATAGTGAACTTTGATTGTATATGATAATAAACATAAATATGTTATCGTGTATGACTGAATGTAAAAAGGGATTTTTGCTTTGATGATTTGAAGTGTACATTAAATGGAGTGTACATTAAATGTTGTTGCATTTACTGACCACTAGATGGAGCCACAATGCTGGTTATCACTAGAGTTTAAAATTCAGCCATAAAAAAAGATGCTTCCACTTCCTGTTCAAGGTTTTTAGTACCAATAAACAACTTTATAAAACCAGAGTCAATGCTGCGCGAAAGTGCATGTGTTGAAAAACTAAATAATCAAACTCATCAGTAGTTTTCTCCCATTTATTATCTTTAGGTCATTGTACAATGGAAGGCAGTTTAAATTATAAAAGTTCGGTGGAGGTGTCGGCTGGATGGAGTCACAAGGCTGAAGGGGGAACGTCGCACGTCCACATGTGATGTTTTCCACAAGAATGAAAACATCACATGTGGAGCAGATTTTTTTTTTCTGCCCTTTCATTTGATGCAGTGTAAATCCAGCCAGCATGGAGCAAACATTTCATCTATTCAAATAATAAAAAACATTTAAGGAGGGCACTCTCTTCAAAGGGGAAAGACAAGTGTATTGCATTAATTGTTGGTTTCAATGGTATTTAGCATTATGAATTCCTATGTGCATGTGTAACAAGCACACACGCTTGTATACTATAGATGTATGCAATGTATGACACGAGTGTCCACACACCTGTTAAGAATTGCAGATCAGGCCAAGGCCTTTGAGAGTACCCACTTAACAAAGAAACAAAACAAAATCAAATCAGAGTTAAGGCCAGCTCGTAACAGGAAAATGTTCAAATAAAAACATACAGTGATCAGATTTATATATATATGTGATGCACGTCAAAAAAAGGTGAATACACAAAAAAAAAAAAAAAAGACCCTCAGCTGTGTCACTTGCAATTAAAACCACATCCGTCTATACAACACAGTCTCTCAGTCCTGTGATGGCTGTGACTGCAAGAGAGCGGCAGCATCAAGAGGAAGCTTAGGTCTAGTCTCCAGAAATGATCTCTCGGAAAATCCAGGCAGGTGAAAGCAGCACACCTCAGTCTGTACAAAATGGCCCCATTTAGAGGAATAGTCCTCTTGCTTTGATCGAGCTTCCAGCCTCGGAAACACTCGACCAGATGCACATTTCACTCTGTGCATAGATTCACGTACAAAAACGGCACCGAACGGATCCTGTCAAAACACCCGTGAAAACCTTTCTCCAGCATGACTTAAAACATTTCTTTTCCACCCTCTTGTTTGGTCCAAGAGTATCAACCTTTGGCTTCTGCTCTATTTCTTATCAAAATCTTAGAGGATGAGAGGTCTAATCATGTTGTGCTGTGTGTGGCCCTGCTGCGATGACGCAATGCTGTGGTTCACCCGAGCCGAGGTGGGTGGGAGTGGAGGAGGGTGAAGAGGAATGTGGATGTCAGTTCGCCCCAGAGGGAGGCTGATGATGATGAGCAGGGGGTTGCGAGTGATCGAGCCCATTTAGAAGTTCAGCTTTGTGACTGGTCGCTCCCTGCCCGAGTCTGTGTTCTGGTTGTTGATCCGCTTGCGGTTACGTTTCATCTTGGACAAGTCCTTATCGAAGACCTCGCCCGACCGCAGCGCTGACACGAGGTCATCAAACTCACCGCCATCCTCCTCTCCGTTCGCTTTTGCTTTCCGGGCCTTTCGCTCCTTCTCCCTCTGCTCACGTAGCTGGGGACACAAATGAAAACTGTCATTTAAATATCTGAAGAGGTGAGAGGATAAGAGCATTATTAGCTTTGCTTGTATACGGGAATCTGAGCCCTCCTGGTTTTTATTTATTTATGACTCAGAGAAGCAGTCACGTAATAACATCCAATTTGACTATATAATATCAATGCACTGTATAATGCAATGAGCTGTAGAGGAGTTAGTGGGCAGATGCTGGCACCTTTGATCAAAGGTTAGGAAGCCATTTTTCAGCTCTAATCTAATCAGACCTAATGAGCTGCACAGATGTGAGTCATACTATCTTCTCATGTAGGACAGAAAACAGATCAAATATATTTCCTATGACTGTGTAACTTTTGCTAAATGAAGGCATTGTAGTATTTAATAAATTAAAGGTGCTAAATAAGTGTTTAATAGCAGCTATAGCTCTACTGAGAATCTCAGGGGATGAAAAGAGAGATCAGTCGCATACCTGAGCTTCTACTTTGGCCCTGCGTTCCTCCTCTTCCTTTCGTTTTCGTATGTTCTCGTTCTCCTGCTGAGCCTCTGTGAACGATTGCAGGAACTGATCGAAGATGCCAAAGAACTCATCTGGCTGCATCTTACTGGCATCCTCACCAAAGTGCTTTACTGCCCTCAGGAACTGCGGGACCAAAGAGAAGAGGAGGGGGCACACGGGATTAGATTTACAGCAGGACGCAGCAGAACCGCGTTTTATTCCATCTTTGACTGCTTTACAGGAGAGTCATTAGGCCCCAGCTCTTTGAAACCAGAGCAGGGCAGGAGTGGTCGGGCTTTGAAGCCCGTGTTCATCCAGATCTCACTGGCTACTGATTGCAGCTGAGGTCAGAGACTGGAGCCAGAGCTCAAATTAAGGCAATGTGCTTGTTGGGTGTTTTTCACAATAAATAAAAAAAAAGAAGAAAAAAAAAGAAAAAGAACATCCAGATGCAAGATCATGCTGGGAAGATACAGCTTCAAAAATGTGACCGCTAACAGCAGTTATGGCATAGACAGGGAAACTATGAGCTGAAAAGATGCTGAAGTTTGTTTTTCCCCCATTAGAAAGAAAAAAAAAAAGAATACATTTCTTTTCAACTTCCTCACAGCAACAATCAAACTCTATTTCACAGTCACCTTTTTCTGCTTTTGTTTTGTTTATATGCACAGAGCTGATGCAGTGACCCACTTAGAGGGTCACGAGGTTATCTGGCTCCCAGTCGTGAGTACAGAAGGCCGCTGTAAACATTCAAATATTTAACCGTGGCATACTGTAAATGATTAACAGCAACTAATGGTTCCCATGTCACCAGCTGAGTCCTCATGTCAATGTGGCACACACTGTGGGACATATAAAAATAATAAAGAAAAAAACACCTCTTCCTCCCATTCAGGAAGACAGACACATAAATCCCATGTTAGCGTGTCAAACGGCCCTTTGAAATGTGAACATGTTCAGGTTTCTGCTGGTAGTGGAGTTTAGTCCCCATAAAATCCACATTTGCTTTGTCTTCGTTTGCTTCGATGCTGTGATTCTGTTTGCACAACATAAAGTGACATCTTAAAGTTGGCAGGTGTAATCTGATGTCCACAGTGTGAAATAATATTAAAGCCTATGTTCCCGTTTGCACTCTTGGCCCTCACACATGGCGACAAGCAGGCCGCACAATAAAGTGTCGGTGGCACTGCAGCAGGAAGCCGAAACGCTTCTCCTGCTGGTCGCTTTCCTAGAAAGGTCCCTGGCGGGGTCAGTAAGGCTTGTAGAAACAGCTGCATGGAGAGGAAATGGGATGCAAGCTTTCAGCGCCTGTGTCTGCAGGCGACTGCGACACTGTCCGGTCTGCTCAAACGCACGTGCACACCCTCGGGTTTTCTGGAGAAACCACACAGGCCGAATGACTCACCAGTTCTTTGGCCTCGATGAGAGAGTCCTCGACATCAGTGAAGCTGAAGCTGGCCACGGTGATGAACTGGCTCACCACCGACACAAACTTGTCACCTGGCTCCTGCGGCCCTTTCTTCTGGTATTCCAGTTCCTGCAAGTGGAAATCAAAAGGAGCAATTAGAAAGAGAACATAAAGAAGAGCTCTGCTGAGTTTGCAAATAAATATCCATGACTTACGCTCTCTACACTTTTTAATCCACTGCGCAGGTTGCCGATATCTTTTTCCAGCTCCGTCATACTGCGTGGAAGAAAGAAAGGTCATCACCATTCACTTAAAAAGGAAGTAGCTGAAAATTAGGTTCCCCATGCAGATGATTCACCCTTTACAGAAACTCTCTTTATATGCCAACAATTGAACCACAATTGGTGGCATATTTTACAAACAAAAATTAGGAAAACACTTGGGAATCACTGCTCCCGGCCTTTACTTGACTTTGGCTGCCTCTGAGATACTCTGCAGGTCCTCCTGGAACTTCAGGACTTTGGGATATTTCTTCTCCAGGATGGTGATCAGATAGTGCAGCAGAGTAATGTTTCTGCAAACACACAGCAAAATGTGTCAAATGTGCAATATAGGGCTTTCATGATGGACTTTCAGATATGAATATCCACATGAAATTTCATCACTATAATATTCCCAGATGTGACTTTTATACACCGCATGCCATTCTTGCTACTGCTGCCTGCAAAGTTTTAATACCACTGTTGAAAAATGTTCTTACTTGTCGATACTGGATTTAGTATCTGCGATCTTGTTGAGTGAAGACACCTTGAAGCCATAAGCATTGCCCCTTTGACCTTTGTTCATATAGTTTCCAAATGCTAGCACCACCTCCAACAGCTGCTTCAGGTTTCTGCTGTTTAAAACCTCCTTAGACGCCTTACCCAGCGCTAAAGCAGCAGGAAAATGGACAAAGTTGGAGATATAAATATGTTTGCTTTGGATAAATCATAGCAATCATATTTGAGGTATCATTTTTATTGTATAAAGCACATATTTCCCACCTTCAACTTTGGGTTTGATCTCAGCTATCCTCTCTGCAAACTTCTTCTTAAAGTACAAAGACTGCAGCCTCTGCTGGTAATGGTTTATTCTGGACCGAGGATGGAAATAACGTGTCAGAGAAGAAGGGGAAAAAGATACAAATAATAAATTATAAAACAGGGAAATCCACAAATGTAGACAAAAGCCACAATCATGAACATTGCACTTAAATCGCCACACTATATAAGTTTTATATAAGCATATCAAAGTTTTAGTTGTGGTACTGAAGCTTATTTTTGGCTGTGTTTATGATTTAAGCCTATAAAGCACAGACTGTGCACTTAATGAATACCACAGTGGCATCTGTCTTCCAGTCCAGCCTGTAAGACGACAAACTGGAAACTACAGCGGCACTTCTTAAAGGAAACAAGACA